GTGGCTATTGGGGATGATTCCTAGCTATTTGCAGATACTACTAATGTTGAGAAAGAGTAAAAAATTAGGTGTCATGATATCTTATTCGTCAATTAACGGTGGATTGTGAGTCTAGCAATAAAGAACTAGAGAAAGGCCACCTGGTGACGCATCTTTCCATTGCTCACCTTTTTTTTTTTTTTTGTTAAACCTCTTTTTTGGTCCCTTGACTCTTGTATAGATCTCCGATTAAGTTCTTTAACTTAAAAAATTCTTGATTTGATCTCTATTGTTTATTATTTTGACTCGAATTTAATTCTTTCATTAAAAATCTCATGACGTGTATTTTTATTTTACGGTAACATGATAACATGTCAAAATATTAGTATACGTCGAAGACAATATGACAAAAAAAAAAGTGACATAAAAAAAAATAATCATATGACAAAAAACTTAAAAATTCTTTCTTTTTCCATTTTCCTTCTCTTTTCCCTAGGGAGGGATCTTGGGTTCGACGAACCCAATGCTCAAGTTTCTTAGAACGCAGGCTTGGGTTCTTTAGAGTAAAAAAAAATTTATGTTTATGTGGGTTTTGTTATTTAATAATGATGAAAAATTCATTGATGAATAAGGAAAGGAAGACGAAGGTGAAACAAAGTTTTTTAATTTTTATTGTCAAATCATAATTTCTGCCATGTTGTTTTTCCATGTGGACATAATATTTTGACGCATCATTATGCTTCTATTAATTAATGGGATACATGGGTAGATTTTTAATGTAACAACCAAGTTGGGGTCAAAATGATAAATAGTATGGATCAAATTAGGGATTTTTTGAGTTGATGGACTCAATTGAGGGTCCATACAATAATTAAAGGACCAAAAAGGGATTTAACCCTTTTTTTAATCTTATTTTCTTGAGTATTGATGATTAAGATGAAAAAATTTAAATAAATAATATAAAATTTATTTTCTAATATTTTAAATAATGTGATTTATATTAGATTATTAATTTTAAAATTTTATTTCATAACATTTCTACTTTTTATCATTATTCTATTTCATTCAGCAGATTGAAAAGCATGTAGTATCATTCTTAGAACCTAAATAGTTTGGTTGAAGGGGAAGAGAAAGGAAGTGGATAATAATTCTTATTGGATGATAAACACTAGAGAAGAGGGGAGGGGAGAAGTTTTTCTTTAATCTCTTTTATGATCTTAGGTCCCTTAATTTCCCTTCTATTATCTTCATTCTTTCTATTTCTCTTAAATTAAATATAGACAAGAGTTTGATCTATTGGTAAATAAATTTGATATTATAAATCAAATTTATGATTTATGTATTGCAAATAGCATTTAAAAAAATAAATTTTTTTAAATATATCAAGCTAATATGAGAGGTATGCCTTCAAAATCATTTAAAAAAATTACATGACAAGTCAAAAAACACTCTGATTGACTAAAAAAAATCATTAGAAAATAAAATACCAGAGAATTACATGACAAATCAACTTGGATGCCCACATAAGCAAAATACTAAT